TGGCAAAGGACCAGCCAAGCCAGATCACCTTCAAACATTCCCACTATGTGACATATCCAGACCTTGTCTGAGGTGTCTGCTGCCTTGTACTCCCACCATCAGATCAGAGCTCTTGAGCACAGATACCTGCCCAAATCAGAGCCAATGTTTCCATGACCTGGGTACCTCCCAGGAGTTAGTTACCAAGCCATGACCCCGCCACTCTGGGCTGACTTGCCATCGCCTTTGCAGTGGGATCATGTCGGCAGTGACTTTTGGTTGGCTGACGTCAAGTCCCTTCTCTTATTGTTAAGGGCAATCACAAAGAGAGGAGATTAAGTTGTAACAAGAAATGTTCAGTAAAAACTATAATAGCAGTTACTGCTTACAAGCTCACTACTTTAGCCAGAGGCCATTCCTGACTTGATATGTGAAATGCTGTCAAGTGATATTCAGGTCATCTTTGCTACAGGATTCTCCTCATTCCCCCCATTTCTCAATCATTCTCAATCTCCAACTTCTAAACAAGACTAAACACCCTGAGACTAGGGAAGATCTGCTGTGTTCAGTGTTGCATTCTTAGTGCACACTATGGGTTTTGAGTAAATGTTTGCTACTGGAAGAAGACACTTACCTTGAGCTTAGCTAGCTGCCCCACAGTAGAGCCCACTGCTCCTGCTGCTGCATTAACCATCACTGTTTCGCCACCCTTTACACCACAGATGTCGAATAGGCCAAAATAGGCTGTTAGGCTGAAGAAAGGAAGTTAAGGCTATGTGGATAGATTCATTGCTTTCCCCTATAATTCATTCAGATATACCTCAAAGACATTCTTAGCAGCCCACTGCCATAAGTCTAGGTAAAAGAAGACAATAGGAAATGAATATTACCAGCCACTAATGGTCCACCTCCTCACTTGCCCTAGGAATAAAGATGATGGGAACTAGGGAGGGAATGGAGAATTGGCTGGAAAGGGTCTGCATCCTGTCCATCACCAGGTCAAATCTCAGGAGTGAAAGAAGACGGGTCCCCTTTAAACTATGAGTATCCTAGAATAGAGAGCTTATACCTCATTTCCATGTAAGTCCTAGGGAGATGGCAAGCATCATGGAAAAAGCCTACATGTCATCATGGTACAGATAATAATGGTATGAGGTGTCTAGGCATGAGAGGGTCAGAGAGAACTACCTTGAGTTTTGCATGACACCAAAGAGGTAAGGAAGAACTTCGGAAATTTCCCCATCTCACTCCAAGTGGGATGTTGAAAGGAAAAGAACTACTAGGCCTGCAAGGAGGCAGCTCAGACAGTGTTGATGGGGATTGGATGAAGAAACCATCACACCTCAGTGGACAGCGTGGGAAGGGATGTGGCTGAGGACACAATGGGAAAAGTTACACTTTGAACAGGAGACAAGCCGAAGACTAAGAAAGATCAAGATCAAGAAGTTGTTCTCCCACTCTACTGACACTGAACTTATATTAGCCTTTGGAGCTTTGCATCACCCGGAAGGAGAAGATAAAGGAAAATCTGAGTTTGAAACCTCAAGTGATGTGAGAAATCACTGAGTTTAACTGAGGTTTTATTTTACTACACCAGCCAAAATGAGCACTTAAAATAAAGTGCAGTAGTAGAAATTTTTTAAGTTATATTTTTGTGCCCCTATGTCTGAGCCAAAGAAATCTATACCCATTATGGTGATTATTAAGACACTTGTAAAATTTCAGGCAAATTCATGTAAAGTTATTTCTAAATAAAACAGAATCTATGTGTTGGCATAACTTAAACTTACTCAGCCTCTGACTATATTTGGGAGTCCATGAGAGTTAAGCATCTAAAGGAAGGCAGTGAAAGGCACAGCCAGCACCTTTTCTAAGGGCCCAAATATCTAATACTCCCTTTACCCAGTGTTTTGCAAAAAGATGGATGGAGCACCCCCTGCCTCGGAATCACCTGGAATGTTTATAAAAAATTTAGGTTCCCAGGTGCTACCCCAGAGTCACTGGTTAAGGAATGCTAGGACGAGGAATCTGAATTTTAAAAAGACTCCAGGTGATTCTTATGAATATTAGCAACTGAGAGCTACTGCCTTAATGAATGCTGATACCAGAGTGTGCTGGGCAAGTTAGCCTAAGCCCAAAAGAGAAGCAGAGGGTACATTTTCTAATTGTGTCATGCCACTCATGACAACCAAAATTCTCCTTCTCCCAACGTACTTTCAATTAGACATATCGACCTAAGATACATAAGGCCTTTCCTACACATCGCTTCTTTTTAAAAATAAGATGAAGATGGAAGCCAACAGTAAAGAAATTTTAGAGGGAAATTAAAGATATACTTTGGACTAGGCAAGACTTAATAGAATGAACAGGCTGGAGAGCAAAACACTTGAATTCTTCTAACTCAGCTGAGAAAAGAGAGGTCCTACTGAAGGAAATAATACTTCAGGGGAATGTTAAATCTGTGAAGCTTGGATAACTGAAAAACACCCCTAGGTTTCAAAGTTTAACTTCTGGTATAGTCCATATCAGAAGTCCCGGCATTCTTGAAGGATCAATCTATCCCACTGATAAGCGGCTCATAATGGCAAGAATTATCAAAGGATGGGTGGTTGTGTCACTAGAGGAAGCTCGAAACCAGTATATCATAACTCCTCAATCATTGAGAACAACTGGTATAAAGCTAATCGTCTGAAGTAAAAGTGCACTTCTTACAGATTCAGAACAGATGAATAAAAAATACGTACAAGGAATAAATTATCCTGTCTTAGAAGTCAGGATCTCCTAATATTTTGCAATTACTCTCTCTCCAACTAAGTCATGGGAGACTTGCTCTGAGGTTTCCTCACATCCACCTTCATCCCTCCCCTCCGAACACCTGGCTCAATTTAGAAAGAAGGATAGCATAACAAGGTGTGCGGCATAACAAGGTGAGAGGAAGAGCTCCCACTGGTAGAGGGTGCAGGGCAGGCAGGAAAGACAGGTGCTGAAATTCTGTTCAGTGCCCACTAATTTAATTGTCTACAGCCATGCCACCGTGAATAAGCCCGATCCTGTCTGATCTCGGAAGCTAAGCAGGGTCAGGCCTGGTTAGTACTTGGATGGGAGACCACCTAGGAAGACCAGGTGCCATAGGTGTAAAAAAAAAAAAAAGGGATTGTAAACTGACAAGTTCCTTGCAACCTTGCAATCTGTGAGGTCAATCGAGAGTTGTCTCCCCTAAAAAAATAAAAAATTTAATGTAACAAGGTAATAAACATCCTTTAATTTCACAATGATGTCTCTTGGCTGTGGCAATTCCAAGGAGTTCAAATTCTGAATGGAATATGAACTTGGTGTGTATGGGACTGGTTAGAGGCTGATTGTTTGAGGTATATATTTCTATTTCATTCTTTAGAAATCCTTCAAAGTGTGAAAAAGAAAGAGGGAGAATGAAAGGAAGGAAGAAAAAGGAAGGAAGAGAAGAAGGAAGAAAGAAAAAGATTACACGACTTAATGAAAGAACAGAAATAAATGAATTCCAGGCTAGGAAAGTTCTGGAGACTCCAAAAGGAATTCAATCGACCTTGCTTCTCTAAGGCACAGAAGAAAATTCGAGGTCCAAAGTGCAGCTGGGACCTGGAGAGTAGACACAGGATGAAGTGACCAGGAGTCTTCCTGAAGGATATGAAGAACTTCCTGAACCAAGGGACACTTGAATATTTTAAATCTGTGCCAAGCTGAGTGACTGTACAACCATACTTGTGATTCATCTCAGTTATTTAAAATTTAGGTCCCCCTACTCCTCAGGAAACTCAGACGTGTATAAGGAAAAGTGAGGAACGATACAGATACAGAAAAGCCAAGGTAGGTTA